CAGCTCTCCCGCCACAGCCCCAGCCCCCACACCTGGCAGATGCCCGCCAGGCAGGCCAGGCTGGGCTGCTTGGCGGCGGCAAACATAGCACGCACGAGGTCCTGCTGCAGCAGCACCATCAGGCTCTCGTGCGCCTCCAGCGCGGGCCCCGCCGCCTGCAGCGCGGTGCTCATCAGGTCCAGGCCGTGGGCGGGGAGGTCCTGGTGGGCGCCCACGGGCGCTGCACCAGGCGGCAGGCGCGCAGGAAGAGCGGCGGCGGCGGTGAGCGGGGGGTGCGCAGGCGCCGCCGGCCAGCTGCCAAGGAGCGGTGCATGCCTGCGGGGCATGCCTGCTCGCTTGGCCCCCAGCCGCACCACCACGCCATGCGGCGGTGCAGGCCAGGCGCAGGGGAGGCAGCCCGGGGGAGGGCAGTGCACCTGCGCCGATGAGGGAGATGATGAAGATGAGCACCTCCCGTACCGCCTCCACGCCATACCCCTCCACCTCGGTGGGGCTGCCCTGCAGCGCGGGCAGCAGCGACACAATCTCGCCGCCGGTCAGCGGCGACCGAGGAGAGGGCGGCGCCGCCGCCGGAGTCTGCTGCCCCAACGCATCTGCCGCCGCCGCCGCCGCCGCCGCATTGTCGTCGGCGCCGCCATCCGCGGCCCCGGCCGCGGCTGCTGCACCCCCAAAGCCCTCAGACGCGGTCGCCGCCTCCGCGCCAGCGCTGCCGTCGGCTGCTGGGGCTGCGGTTGCGGCGGCATCTGCAGCCTCCTGCGCAGCTCCGGCCTCGCCGCCGGCCTCCTCGCTGCCCTCCTCCCCGCCCGCCATGGCGTTCATTGCGGTGGAGGGCACCGGCGAGACGTGCAGGCGTGGGGCGGTGTGTGCCGTGACAGAGGCGGCGGTGGCAAAGGGGCTGTCCAGGGGCTCTGGGATGGTGTCGAGGCGGGAGAAGATCTGGAACACCAGCTCCGCCATAGCCTGGCGGGAGGCCTGCGTCAGCAGCTCTGCACGGCGGCGGCGCGGCGCGGCACGGCACGGCACACGGCGCCTCGGCGTGAGCTGCCAGGCCGGCACACCGGCGTGGATGGCTGGAGCCAGCCGATCAAATGCTGCGGTGCCAGCCTGGGTCGCCGCCACTGACGCCATTCCCCATCTCCCCTATTCGCTGCCACAGCATCCATCACGGCTGCCTCTCCCGCCGGTCCCGTCCCGCAGCTCTGGCTCCAGCCCTAGCCCCCCCACAAGCACCCGCGAGCAGCACCCCCCACCCCACCCCACCCAACACACACCCGATGTGTCCCGCCCCTTCTCCGTCTGGAAGTGCCCTATGCGGTAGCAGGCCTGGAAGATGTTGATCAGGTTGTCGTTGGTGAGCAGGGCGCCCGCGGGGCAGCCCACGCAGCCCACCAGCACATCCAGGATCTTGTGCAGCACGCACTCGTCGGAGGCCGGGTAGGTAGCCTCAAACTTGCACTGCGTGACCCCGTCCGCCACCGCCTGGATGGCCTCCGCGGCAGAGCCGCCGCCAGAGGCGCCTGCAGGCGGGGGGCCGCGTGGCGGGGCGGGCTCGGGGCGGGCCGCGACGGACGCAGGAAGCAGGAAGCAGGAAGCGACGCGCTCGGCGGCGGCTTTCCGGGGCGGCGGCCCGGCAGCTCGGCGTGGATCGATCACCCCCTGGGCACAGCGCGGCGGGGCGGCTGCCCTAGCCTCTGCCCTGCTGCAACCCCACGCACTGAGGATGCCGCGGCGGATGATGCGGTCCAGGGAGGCGAGGGCAACCAGGGTGATGGGCCCGCTCGTCTCGGGGCTCTTTATGGTCTCCAGGAAAGGGGTCAGGTACTCCAGAGGGTCCACCTCCTCCCAGTCTGCACCCACATGATAGCCAGGGCATTGCTGGTGATGAGCAGCGGAGACCAGGCCTCTGCCAGCAAATGCGGCCGCGCCGCCGCCGCCGCCGCCGCGGGTGCCCGCCACTCACTGCGCCAGGAGAAGAGCTTGCGCCGCAGCGCCTTGAACTCCTCCAGCAGCGGGTCCTCCACCTCATCATCCTGCACGCCAGGGGCGGGCAGAAGGGGTGCAGCGGTGCAGGGGTTGTTGGCGCTCCGCCCTTCACGCCGATCGGCGTGCTGATCACCCGGCGACGCGTCCCCTCACCGCATATCTGTTAAACTTGGTGTTGCTGCGCAGCGCTGCAATAACAGCGGCTGCCTCCCCGCTGAGGAACAGGGCGGGGCTGCGTGCCGAGGCCATTGGTGCCGTCTATGGCCTCATCGCTGCGCGCACGATGCGACAGCCGGGCGGCCGAACCGCGCCTCGCAGGCAAAGGGGCTGGGAATGTACAGCGGCAGTACGCCGCCGCCGCCTGCCGCCGCGAACAGCCGCTGGCCCGGAGAGGGAGGATGTGCCTGTATCTGTCGGTCACATGGCATGACATGCTTGCACAGTGCTGACCTGTGAGCAGCAAAATGGGAGCAGCGCTGGCAAGGAAAATGGGATGAGCGAGCACGGTGGCGCCGAGGCGGCGGCGCGGCGTGAGCCAGGTAGCTTGTACAAGGAAGCGAGGGAGGCAGATGCGCGAGCATACGTCACTGTTGCCCCATTAGAGTCAGAAGCAAAATAAACTGTAACAGAACAGCAGTCAGTTTTGAATAAGATGGGGCAAGCTTGTCACCGGGTGGCGGGAGGCGCGGAGGTGTGAGAGGCGACCCTTTGCGCACGTCCAAGCTGCATCATGCCCCCCGTTCTGGCGGTGCACTCGCGCACGCAGTCCAGGATGCTCTTTGTGGCGGTAGGCTTGTTGAGGTGTCTGCATCACACGCCAGGCACAAGAAAGAGGCGCGCCCGGATCGGAGCACGCCGTGCCTGCCGGGCGGCGACGGTACCCAGCTCGCAGCCTCATCAGTCGCGGCCCACCAGCACGCTGCACAGCACTCACAGGAGATGTTGAGGCCGGTGGTGTAGTGGCGGTTCATCACCTCCCAAAGGTACCTGCAGAAAAGAAAGGTTTCAGGGCTTGTTGGGGGGGGGGCAGGGGCAGGGCTCGCGGCTGCCATACCAGTCCCCGCCCAACGCGCAGCTGCAGGCGCTGGCGGCCTGACGGCAGGCGGGCGCACTTGATGTTGAGGCTGTCGTGAGCCTGGTCGGAGAACAGGTAGAAGAGGAGGTCCACCTGGCGCCAGCAGGGCGGCGGTGGGGGTGTCAGCCAGCCACGGCACACCCGCGCCCTTGATCGCACACGTGCGAAGCAATGCTGGCACAGGATGAAGCTGGCACAGCACCACCCCCTGGCTCCTCCTCACACGCCGCCTCTCAATCCACCGCCCTCCCCTCCCTGCCCCAACCCCAACCTACCAGCTCCGCCCGCAGCTGGATGCCCATCACGTGCTGCACCACCCACGCAAAGTCCTCCCGCCCAACCTTGCCGTTGGTGTTGTGCCGGAACTCAAGCGCCACTGCGGGCAGCCGGCACGGAGGGTTGCCAGCCGGTCGAGGACTGGCTGGCATGCACGCCCTCCTGTCATAGCCCGCAGCGCTGCGCCCTTCCCCAGCCCTGCCGCTGGCAGCACACAGCCCCAGCCCTGCCCATGCCCACCCGACAGCAGGCGCAGCTTGCTCCACATGCGGCGGAACTCCTGGAACTCAGGCAGGGTGACCCGGATGGCGGCAAGCTGCGGCGGCATGGCCTGCGGGCGGGAAAGACGCGGGAGCAACCGCATACGGGCAGCAAGGGGGGCGTGAGCATAAGCACACAGCACACACCTATGAGTGGCCACAGGGCATGTCACGCCATGGCGGCGCGCCTGCCGGCGGCGGCGCCCGGCGCTGCCGAAGCTGCGGTACCGCCTGGATGCAGTACCCAGGCAGTACCTGTACTTTATCCAGGTACTCGTCCACGTGCTTCAGCCGCGCGCAGCTGACCACGCTGCACGCAAAGTCGCGGCCGCTGATGGATCCCTGCGAGGGGTGTGAGAGGGGGAGTGGCGGGGCGGGTTGGGATGCAGGGGTGGGGTGGGGGTGGGTGGGGGGGACGGGCCTGGGGTGCCGTGTGTGGCACGGGCAAGGCACGGGCAAGCATCACATTCAAGAGCATCCCGCGCACCAGAGCATCCCGCGCCCACACACACACGCGCACACGCGCACACATGAATGCATGGCAGCTGCTCAGCGCCGCGCTTGCGACCCCCCCCCCCCCCCCCCCCCCCCCTTTGCCCCCC